TGGCTCACTGCAATCTCCGCCCCCTGGGTTTAAGTGATTCTCCAACCCCAGCCTCCCAAGTAGCGGGATTACAGGTGCATGCCACCACACCCAGATAGTTTTAGTATTTTTAGCAGAGATGGGGTTTAACCATGTTGGCCAGCCTGACCTCAAGCTCCTAACCTCTATTGATCCACCTGCGTTGGCCTCCCAAAGTCCTGGGATTACAGTTGTGAGCCACAATGCCCAGCCACTAAGGCCCTTAACTTATTACAGTGGGCTAGTTACATTTAGACAACTAAATAAAATCTTATGCCCTCCAATATAAAAATAAAATCACTAGAGAGATTTAATTATAAGAAAAGCTGAGGAGAAGGAAAACCATACACAGACACAAATATGCAGACACACACAGACATACCATATTATTAATTTTTAAAATTCATGTCCTACTTAAGATGTTAAAACTTAGTTTTGATAGAGGCAGACATATGCCTAAGCAGATAGAGGGAGGATCCCCCACAAAACCCTGTCTTCAAACTGAAGCCAGTTTAAAGCCTGAAAGCCAAGCTACGAGTTAAATCCTTGGACTGGATTGAGAACTTATCTTCCCATTTGGTGCACTTTCCCTCGATTTGTCCCCATCCTTCACCTATTTTACATATACCTACCCTTTCCTAATTGGTTTTCTGCACTGTCGTGCCCACCTTTGAGTGGTATCTTCACTTTAACTTTTTTTGCATACTCACAAACCAATCAGCATGCACTCTCCATTCTGAGTCCATAAAAGGTCTCAGACCCAGCCACACAGGGGACCCATCCCCACCCTGTCCCCTCTCTACTGAAAGCCGTTTGCATTGCTCAATACAATTATTCTCCACCCACCTCACCCTCCAATGACCTGCATATCCTCATTCTTCTTGTGTATGGTACAAGAGCTGAGGGACAAACACAGGTACAAGCTAGAACAAAGGCAAGCTGGGGCACATCAGGATGGCTGAGCAAGGCCCCACGTTGCAGTGGGGGTTTCTGGCTTGCAAAGTGACCAAGAAGAAAACTCCTGCATGAGTTTGATGTCAGGTCTATATTTACTCAAGGGACTTGACAATCAGGGCTAATTTATCCAAAGACATTAGGAACATTTGGTGACAATGCAATAAGATATACTTGAAAGTATTCTGTAAACATGCATAAAGGTGAGATCAAACTATAGAATTCAGGTTTTACGATCATTGCTATCAATATTTTTGTTCTTCAGGTCTATCGTTTCTTATTTAAAACCTTTAGACCAGGTATTCTGAAATTCGGAATTAAAAAAAAAAGTATAAGTAATACCATACATTTACCGTGTATGACATAACAACCCCATTTAGTCTGAGGAAAAGCCCTGTAATAAACACATTAATAATTATGCAACAAAATATATGAATATTCACATTAAATGAAATAACTGCGAGCCATGAAAAACCATTACATTTCAGGCTATGTTTTGCCACCAAACAAATACAAGTCAGGTCAGGTGTGAAACAAATTACAAAACCTACTTTGGGGCTTTTTGAATTTCAAAATTCCAAATATGGGTTTGTGAACTCTATCATCGTTGTCATTATATAGCTCAAGCTTTGATTATAAAAGACAAATACCACCTGTGCCCAGAATGTTTGCCGAGTGTTGGTGCCTAAAATGTCCCATTCACGGAAGAAATGGAATGCACTTTCTTACTAGAGCTGGCTTCCAGACTTTGTTAAGTGTGTTTATTAAGTGTGTTTCCTTGAGAAAGTCACTTACCTTCTCTGAACTTTATTTTTCTTACCTATAAAATGTGTATTATAACTCTGTAGACCCTTGACATTCCCATGGGTTATATTTTGAGTTTGTATGAAACCACAAATTTGTGAATATCAACAGATAATATAATTTCTCAAAAAATGTAGTAAATTATTACTGAGTCCAGTTGCTTATCAACTAGCTAATGTGTTGCCACTCATAAGTAGTGGGCAGTCTAGATTGTGGAGTTTATAGAAAATGATTGTTCCGGCCAGGTGTGGTGGCTCATACCTGTAATCCCAGCACTTTGGGAAGCCAAGGCGGGCAGATCACTTGAAGTTAGGAATTCAGGATCAGACTGTCCAACATAATGAAACCCTGTCTCTAATTAAAATACAAAAATTAGCAAGGCGTGGTGGTGCATGCCTGTAATTCCATCTAGTTGGGAGTCTGAGGCAGGAGAGTGGCTTGAACCTGGGAGGCAGAGGTTGCAGTGAGCCAAGATCGTGCCACTGTACTCCAGCCTGGGTGACAGAGGGAGACTCCATCTCAAAAAAAAGAAAGAAAGAAAGAAAGAAAATAATTGCTCAAAGAGCAGTTGGAATGAAAATGTTGGTTTTGTTTTGCTGTTTCAAATGCAACATCTCTTGGTGATTTAAGCAGAGATACAAACTTAGTTATATTTTGCCTTGGGCATGATGCATCCATGAGAAAAGTCCAAATGTGAAAATAAAACATATGGCTAAGCTTGGACTTTTGATATCATTAAAGTGGTTTTGAAGGCCTCTACTCAGAAAAAAAAAAAAAAAAAAAAAAAAAAAAAAAAAAAACTGTAGCGAGTTTTGAAAAGAGTAGTCATTTACGAGTAGTAACTTGATTTGAACTTGTAATTTCTCCAAGAAGTTGAAAATAATTAGACAATAGCTACCAAAGCAAGAGAACTTTAAATACTTAAATGTGCAGAAAGTTCATTCATAAACCAAACTTTTATAAGCTTTAAAATTTCACTTTTAAGTTACTTGCACTCTTGTACCAAAAAAAAAAAGGCATTTGGAAAGACATTCCACTGATGTCATTTTTAATCTAATATAATGAGAGGATACTTTTTTGACATATAAGAGTCCTTCATTTAGGGAGATAACAGGATTCAGGGACTGTCTAGAGTCATTTACATTTACAATCCAACTGAGTTTAAGTGCTGATCATAAATCTAGAGGGCAGGGTAAAGTTAAATAACTCAGGATGCCTGGAGTGTGTCATTTTTTGGTGTATAAGATTCAAAAGTGGGTGAAATGAATTTCAAGATTTCACAATCAACAATCAAAAAAGTAACACTTCAATTCTATCTCAGACTTAAAGAATTAAAATGACTCTCATGAAATCACATTCTCATGAAGTAGAAGATCACAGAATTAAATTATCAATCAAATCTTGGGAAGAAGAGAGATATCAGGCACTTGATATCTGTATAAGTTTTAAATTGGTACTATATATTCTTGGAAATGAAGATCTGCTGTTCCAGCCTGGGCAACAAAATGAGACCTCATCTATATGAAAAATGAAAAAGTTAGCCAGGCATGGTGGCATGGGCCTGTGGTCCCAGCTACATGGGAGGCTGAGGTAGGGAGATCACTTGAACCCAACAGGTCAAGGCTGCAGTGAGCTGTCACTGTATCATTGCACTCCAGCCTGGGTAACAAAGCAAGCAAGAAAGAAGAGAAAGTGGAGTTTGAGAACAGTCTGACCAACATAGTGAAACCCCATCTCTACTAAAAATACAAAAAAATTAGCTGAGTGTGGTGGCGCTTGCTTATAAACCCCGCTATTTGGGAGGCTGAGGCACAAGAATTGCTTGCACTCAGGAGGCAGAGGTTACTGTAAGCTGAGATTGTGCCACGGTACTCCAGCCTGGATGACAAAGCAAGACTCTGTATCCAAAAAAAAAAAAAAGAAAGAAAGAAAATCTGCTGTCAAAGCTACTGACAAGCAATGGGAGCCTTCTCTTTTATGCCCCAAAAGAATGTTAGTAATTCTTAGGGATGATGTTTAAAATGAACTGTTTTCTCTAGACTGTCCTTTGACATAATAAGAGTAAGAATGGCCAGTTATCTTGTGTGACTGGGTCTAGATGGTATTCTTATTGTGGTTTTTGAGAAATGGCAATGATAGATGAAAATGCTAATACTTGATAGGTGTGATCACTAGTAAATACAAAAACTTATTTCTAAGACAATAAAGAATACATTTGAATTTTATTTTCCAATATACTGTTTTTCATTCATCTATGATATGGGGCAAATTATTTAGTTTCCTTAAGATAGTGAAAATAATGCTAACTATTTAAAAGAATTTGATACAATAGCTCTAATAGCTCTCTTAGACTGTTTTGTGCTGCTGTGACAGAATACCACAGTCTGGGTAATTTATAATACACAAAAGTTTATTTGGCACATGCTTCTGGAGGCTGGGAAGTCCAAGACTGTGGAAAAGGCATCTGGTGAGGGCCTTCTTGCTGCATCATCCCATGGTGGAAGGCAGAAGGGCAAAAGAGCACTGGAAAGAGAGCAAGAGATTGAACTTGCAGCCTCAAGCTCTTTTAAAGTTGGCAATAATCCATTCATGAGAGTGAAGTCCTCTTGACCTGAACATCTCCCATTAGGCCCCACCCATTTTCCAACATTGTTGCAATTGGGAATTAAGTTTCCAAAATGTGCTTTTTAGGGAACAGGTTCAAACCATAGAAATGGTTTTAAGTAGTTTTCCCATGCTTCTGGGATATCAAGAGGCTTAGAGGAAGAGAAAAGTTGCGTTATGAATCTTTCTATTTTGCCCCCAGTAGATTCTAACTAAGAAAGACAATACAACTGATACAATTAGGATCTCATTAAGAATTAGTATTAGAACCATACACGTTAGTCAGAAAAACTGTTATCTAAATGATAACATTTTCTCACTAGTAAGACTTGTTTTATGGGCATGGTGGCTCCTATCTATAATCCCAGTACTTTGCAAGGCTAAGGTGGGTGGAATTGTTTGAGCCTGGAGGTTTGAGTCCAGCCTGAGCAACATAGCTGAACTCTCTCTCTACAAGCAATACAAATATTAGATGTGTGTGGTGGCATGCACCTGTAGTACCAGCTACTAGGTAGGTTGAGGTGGGAGGAGCCCTGGAGCCCAAGAAATTAAGGCTGCAGTGAGTAGTGAGCATGCCACTTCACTCCAGCCTGGGGAGACTGCAAGACCCTATCTAAAAAAGAAAAACCTGGCAGGGAAGATACCATGATCACAAAGGTGGTTTTCCCAGGGCAAGGCTTTCATTGCATTCTGGATGTGCTGACCCCTGCAATTTCCCCAAATGTGGGAAACTCGACTGCATAATTTGTGGTAGTGGGGGACTGCATTCACGCTTTCCCCTGGTAAAAAAAAAAAAAAAAAAAAAAAAAAAAAAAAAAAAAAAAGGAAAGAAGAAAAAAAAGGAAGAATAAAGCTATTATATTACTGAATGTATCATTGATAATCTCTACAATGAGAAGAGTAGTTTTGAGGCCGAACGTGGTAGCTCATGCCTGTAATCCCAGCACTTTTGGAGGCCAAGGTGGGCGGATCACCTGAGGTATGGAGTTTGAGATTAGCCTGACCAACATTGAGAAGCCCTGTCTCTACTAAAAATACAAAATTAGCTGGGCAAGGTGGCCCATGCCTGTAATCCCGGCTACTCCAGGGGGCTGAGGCAGGAGAATTGCTTGAACCTGGGAGGCGGAGGTTGCAGTGAGCTGAGATCATGCCATTGCACTCCAGCCTGGGCAACAAGAGCAAAACTCCATCTCAAAAAAAAAAAAAAAAAAAAGGAAAGAAGAAGAAGAAGATTTTTGAAGGGAAAATTGTGTATCAGGCATTTATCTTTTTGTGTTCTGAGACAATTTACTAAGAATTACCTAAGTAGCAGATTATAGAAATTTCAGAATGAATTATTACAATTGGTTCAACAAATTAAAAACTTGGTTCCTTTTTTAAAAAAAACAACAACTGTATACATGTGTTGTCTTCAACTTTTAAATTTTATTATGAATATTTCAAACACAATTAGAAAGGTTCAGTGAACCCCCAGGTATCCATCCTCCAAGCTGCAAAACCATCAACTCATGGCCTCTTGTTACATCTAACTCAACCTTACTCACTGCTTCTCTCCCTCTGGAGTTTTATGAAGCAGGTTACAAATAATATATAATCTCACTTATAAAAAATTCAGCATTATCCCTAAATGATAAGAACACTTAGAAAAAGCATGTAAGTGCAATGCTATTATGACACCTTAAATAATAATATCAAGAAAGCTAAAATTTTAAAAATTGACAGCAAAAATTGGTGAGTATGTGGAGCAACTGGAAACATCATAGAGTGATATTAGCAGTGTAAAACAGCACAGTTACTTTTCAGTGTCTTATAAAATTAAATATTCTTCTACACTATCATTTAGCAATTTCATTCCTGGGCATTAACCTCAAGAAACAAAAACGTGTATCTACTAAAATACTTGTGTAATAATATTTGTAACATCTATAATACATATTATAATGTCTCTACATGGCCCCAAAATGGAAATCACTCAAGTAGCCATGAACAGGAGATGTTTTTAAATGCTACTGAGCAATAAATAGGAATGAACTAGTAATATGCGCAGCAACATGGATGGGTCTTAAAAACATCATTTACATTCACACTCATTAGAATCACTATAATCAGAAAGACAATATCAAATGTTGGCAAGGATATGGAGGAATTGAAGACCTCATACATTGCTAGTGAAAATATAAAATGATGTAGCAACTCTGGAAAATAGTTTGGCAGTTTCTTTAAAAGTTAACCCTAGATTGGCCAGGCATGGTGGCTTATGCCTGTAATCCTAGCACTTTGGGAGGCAGAAGCAGGCAGATCACTTGAGTTCAGGAGTTCGAGACCAGCCTGGCCAATATGGTGAAACCATGTCTCTACTAAAAATATAAAAATTAGCTGGGCATGGTGGCACGTGCCTATAATCCCAGCTACTTAGGAAGCTGAGACAAGAAAATCTCTTGAACCTGGGAGACAGAGGTTGCCGTGAGCCAAGATCACGCCATTGCACTCCAGCCTGGGGAAAAAGGGCGAAACTCCACCTAAAAACAAACAAACAAACAAACAAAAACTTAACCATAGATTTACCATATGACCCAGTAATTCCTATCTTAATTATTTCGCCAGGAAAAATTTAAAAAAATTCATAAAGATTTACATATGAATGAATGTATTCATAGCAGCATTGCTTATACTGCCTGAAATATACAAACAATCCATATGTTCCTCAACAGACAAATAAATAAACAAAATGTGGTATATCCATACAATGGAATATTATTCAGTCATAACAAGGAATGAAGTACAGATCAATGCTACAACATGGATGAACTTCAAAATTGACCCAGGAGTTTGAAACCAGCCTAGGTAACATACTAAGATGCCATCTCTACAAAAAATGAAAAATTAGCCAGGCATGGTGGTGGTGCACCCCTATAGTACCAGCTACTCAGGAGGATAAGGTGGAAGACCTACTTGAGCCCAGGAGGTCAAGGCTGCAGTGAGCTATGATTGCACCACTGCACTCTAACCTGGTGACAGAGACCAAAAAATATATATTATGCTATGTTAAAGAAGTCTGACACAGGCTGGGTGCAGTGACTCATGCCTGCAATCCCAGCACTTCAGGAGGCTGAGGCATGAGGATTGCTTAAGCTCAGGTGTTCAAGACCAGCTTGGGCAACATGACAAAATGCCATCTCTACAAAAAATACAAAAATTAGCCTGGCACTGTGGCATATGCCTGCAGTCCCAGCTACTGAGGAGGCTGAGGTAGAAGGATCACCTGAGCCCACAGAGTTTGAGGCTGCAGTGAACCATGATCACCAGCTCCTGACCCCCACCCAGCGTGGGCAACAGAGCAACACCCTGACTCAAGAAAAAGAAAAACAAAGCCTGACACAGATGACTACCCATTGTATAATTTAGTTTGTATAAAATGTTCAGAAAAGGCAAAATGGGGATTACCTGAAAATGAGTATGAAGAATCTTTCTGGGGTGATATAAATATTCTAAAACTGGATCATGATGGTGTTTGCACGTCTTAGTATGTTCACTAAGAGTCACTCAATTGCACACTTAGAATAGGTGAATTTCATCATATGTAATAATGTGTGAAAGAAGCCAGATACAAAAGAGTACAATAGTGTATGATTCCATTTATATAAAGTCCAAGAACAGCAAAATTGATCTATGGTGCTAGAAGGCAGAAAGTGATTGCCTCTGAGGTGGGAGTGAAGAGTTACTGACTGGAAGGGAACTAGAGGGAACGTTCCAGGGTGATGAAAATATATCTGTATCCATATTTTGTTTTGGGTAATGATTACCCAGGGGGATACAATTGTTAAAACTTGTCATACAGAACACTTAAAATCTGTGCATTTTATTGTATGCAAATTATACATTCATTAAAAGCTAAACGATAATTATCTTTTTTTTTTTTTTTTTTTTTTTTTGAGACACAGTCTCACTCTGTTGCCCAGGCTGGAGTGCAATGGTGTGATCTCTGCTCACTCCAACCTCTGCCTCCCAGGTTCAAGTGATTCCCCTGCCTCAGCCTCTTGAGTAGCTGGGGCTAAAGATGCACCCCACCACACCCAGCTAATTTTTGTATTTTTAGTAGAGATGGGGTTTTACCACATTGGCCAGGCTGGTCTTGAACTCCTGACCTCAGGCAATCCGCCCACCTTGGCCTCCCAAAGTGCTGGGATTACAGGCGTGAGCCACTGCACCCGGCCAACAATAACTTTTTAATACCATAAAATATCCTGTTCTGAATACCTTGTTTATGTATATATAATTGATTTGTTTGAATTGGTATCTAAACTAATCCATACATTGCTCTTAATTGACATCAATTCTTTTCCCTCTCAAGCCTTTAACCTCAAGAAAAAGAAGAAAGTTGATTTTTAGGTAGTATGTGTTTTACACATGCATTTCATTTACCCTCTTGTTAAGCACTTTGTGGAGAAATAATTTACATATAATAAAATGCAAACAATGACCTTTTAAATATATTGCATGTATTTTTAACTGGAAAAGTAATTTAACCATGTTGTAAAACAAGTACAAATGACAGAAAATTTTAAAAACAACTAGAATGACCATTTTGGTGTATTTATTTTTATCTTTTTTTACAACTGCTTCTTTTTCACTAAGATAATACATGTGTAGTAGCTATTATCATTCTTAATAATGCTATTTCATAGACATTGATTTCTAAGAAAATTTACAGCTATAAATCATATTAGTGGAATTACATTGAATTTTGAAGCACCAAGCATACTATATGATGCTATTCTATCATGTCCATATCCAAGTAATAGTTAGGAAATAGATGCATGTGTTTAAGCAGCTTTCAGGAAATGAATACATGTGTTTCAGCAGCTTTACGTACATTTACTTATCTTCTACAATTTTTTTCTTTTTGGAGACAGAGTTTCACTTTTGTTGCCCAGGTTAAGTCCAATGGTGCGATCTCAGCTTACTGAAACCTCTGCCTCCTGGGGTCAAGTGACGCTCCTCCCAAGTTGCTGGGATTACAGGTATGTGTCATCATATTTTTAGTTGAGACAGTTTTCACCTTGTTGGCCAGTCTGGTCTCGAATTCCTGACCTCAGGTGATCGCCTGCCTCAGCCTCTCAAAGTGCTGGGATTACATGTGTGAGCCACCACGTCTGGCCACATTTACCTATCTTCTAATGAGTTGATTTATTTCTTTAAAGTATAGACAGTTCTGCTTAAATTATCCTGAGAATATAAACGTCTTTGTGTGATTGAGGGAAAAAGATACCTGCTATTCTATCCAGAGACCCCCCTATACAGTTTACTATAGTTTTCCAGTGGACAGAAGAGTTGTTCAGGTCCTTCGTTTGGCATTTTCAAGTTCTGAACTCAGTATGTTTTGTTGAAAATGAAGTTATGTCCCAGCATATGTTCTGATCTACACTTAAAGCACACTGACTTACTCAGTACATGAGCTTTTTGAAAAGTTTCCACGTAACACTTTGAGGCACTGATTTTTCTACAGTCTCATTAACTCATGAAAATCCCAGTTTTTGTTGCAGGAGAAGAAACTATGTTAAATAATGGAAACACTGGAATTTGAGTATTACTTTTAAAAGCATTTTTTTCTGGACTAGAAAAGGTCACGGCATTTCTAAGAGTATGCCCTTTGGTAGGACTGCTGTTCCTTCACCTGAGATATAATGAGATGCAAGTGATCTGTCAGCAAAAATCCCTATCAGAGGTTGCAAGTACAGTACAATCAAATTAAAGCAAACAAGATTATCCTAAAGTGACTTTT